ATCTGTGTATTGAAAATGGTTAGGATAGATGTATAGCTACATTCTCTTAAGTCAATGAATAGAGGGATTTGTTCTAATACTGTTTGTTAATAGGATACCATCTCTTCATCTTGTATAGCAACGAACCACTAGGAGGGTAGTATGCAATGTGTTGATTATTGGAACTGTCCTACCAATTTGATTTGAAACTGTCTCATTGCTATTTATTTCTTAAAAAATCATGGGGAAAAAATGCAAAAAAGCTCTGCTCCATGCGTTACAGCCTATACCTGCAGAAGGGCACCCAGATTTCAGGAGGCGCCCAAGGGGCCTTCTCTCTGACAGTGAGGGTGGGGACCTCGCAGCTGGGGGAGGCCAGGCGGGGATCAGCGAACCTATTACCCACTTCGTTGAGGGAACAAGAGAAATGGACAGAGGCTTTGTCACTGCCCCCTGGACAGTCCCAACGAGGGTGGGCTGGGTGGATGGCATGGTGGCAGGGCATCGGCTTGAGGGAAGACCATCCTATGATGTCACGAGAGGGTGGATCTTATGCAGATAAGGAAGCATGGAGCTGCTGGTTGGAGCCCTGGTGTTGAAACCTAATGATTTTCCTGTGACCAGGGAGATAATGTAGGGAGGATTTTGGCAGCTGGGCACATCTGCTGCGTGGACGGGCTAGGAGGACCCGAGAGTGTGTGAAGGCAAATGAGCCTCAATGAAGAGTGAGGCACGAAGCAGGATTGGTGGGGCAGGGCGCAACAGTGGTCATAGTTATCTGGCAGGGGAGATACCATGATCATGAAGGTGGTTTTCCCAGAGAGAAGTTTATCTATTGTACTCCGGATGTGCTAAAATCTGCGATTTCCCCAAATGCATTGAAACTCCACTACATAATTTGTGGTAGTGGGGACTGCATTCGCGCATTCCCCTGTTTTGTGGTTAAATGTGAGATTGGACTTTTTAATTTTCAGTTATTTTTAAGCCACCTAGTTGCATGGAGAGTGTAACATACATGAACTTTTCCGGTGCCTCCTGAGATAAATATTTTGCATATGTTCATACACATTTTGTTGGTTCTTTTTTTTTATTTCACGTGTTGCTTATGAAATGTGGGCGCTTCCTACTGACAGGGCCAAGTAGAAAATACCAGGCATGGTGCATCCTGCGTGGAGGAGGTGGCTGGGTAGAGACACTTTCCGCCTGCATAGCTGTGTTTTTCACTAGCAGTATTGCCCTCCTGGAGAAAGCAGTCTCCACTGCCAGAATAACACATGCACCATCAGAGTCCAGCTGCTGACCAGACCAGAGTGAGCGAGCTGCCCAGGCCGAACGCCAAGCCTAGAGCAAAGTGCCAGTTTTACTGCTAGGTACTTACTTCATGGGAACGTTTGCCAGCAGTTCCTTGAGCCCTGCCAGCCGATTTCTTTTCTTTTTCTTTCTTTGCTTCTTTCCTGGTTTTCTTTTTCTTTTTCTTTCTCTTGCTTTCTTCTAAAGCTCTTAAAAGAGTTAAGTACTCCACAGACACCTTCCATAGGGGACCAGCTTTGCAGATCCCAAGGGCGTGCACGTGACACTCACCCACAGAAGTAACATAAGATTACATTTTAATATACTCTTGTCAAGAAACATAATTTTCAACATCATCCCTGGGCCTGCTTACAAAATCTAAACAAGAGTACAAATAATTTCTATGTGAAGTATAATAAAAATTGAAAATGTTAACACTGATGTAATCTTTCCCATGTGTAACAGCATGTTCCACGCATAGGCCTAGCTTATGCTGACAGCATGTATGGTTTAATTTTCTGTCTTTTGGGCACGTCATACCTGTCACCTCTTCTCTTCCTGTTTTCTCAGGAGGTTCCCACTATACCGTGTGCACTTACAGGGAAAATGATTTATCAATAAAATATTTAATATGCTGTACCCTGTTCAGGAAAAACAGTGTATGTATCTCCTACATACACTGTTTGCTTAATAAATCTAAAAAGAAATATATAAATCTCTATGTGCTGCAGGTCAGGGGATGCCCACTTGTGAGGCAGGGGGATGGCCTTGAATTCAAGATTGGCCTGCACTACAGTCAGACCATTTCTCAAAAAAAAACCCTGATAAATAAATACATTAATATTATCCCTCAATGAATGCACACTGATTAGGCCCACAACCTCCCAAATGAGTGTACAAAGAACACTAAAATAAAAGAGTTAAGAGCCAGCCCGTTAGCTCAGCAGACTGAAGTGCCTGCTTAGTCAGAGTGTAGCAGCCAGTTTTGATGCCTGCTGTGTGTACGCCCCCAGCTGGCTGAGATGCCATTGAGACTGGGACGTTGGCACCTGTAATCCCAGCTTTTGGGAGGCTGAACACAGGCAGATCACAACAAGTCAGATCTACTTACTGAGGCCCTGTGGACCCTGTAGACCCTGTCCCAAATACAAACAAATAAATAAGTCAAGGGGTATGATCTTAAGGCTCCAGGATGATAAACCCTTTCACAGACTTTGAGATTTGGCAGAGGTTAAGACAAAGACATCCTCTGGGTGGCCAATATCTATTTAATTATCAAAGGAGGCGAATACTGAAGAGGGTGGACTTTTGAGCAGGACCAGTCATGGATGAGGAAGTCCACTCAGTGATTTCTCCACTAATCCATCATGTCCACTTAGGAGAACTATGTTACCTCCAGGAAGGGCTTCCCCACAGGAGTGAGATGTCTGCAGCTACAGTCCTTGTCTAGTTAATGGAACTTGGAGCAGGTATCCTTAGCTGTGGCCTTGTCTTCTCCTGGGAGGTTTCTAGGCTTTACCCCCCACTGCAGGCCTCAGCTGGGATCAATGACTCACAGAGGTTCACTTACCATGAGCCCCTGCCCGTCTCCAGACCATGGGCCTTTGTGTGGACAGACTCCCAAGTAGGCATGGAAAGCCCATTGGGCACTTACATCCTGCTCAGAGCTGCTTCATAGCGGTTTCCATCAAAAAACAATGTGCGCTACAGTGAACGTACAAATAAAACTCTACCACAAAAATAATCTGTACATGAATGATCATATGCAAGGTAGTTTTCACGCCTGAAAACGGCATGTTCCACATATAAGATAAGTTACACTGATAACATGATGTTTTGGTTTCCTGACTCTTTTAGTTGAACATACGTGACATTTTGCTACTCTTTCTGTCTTTTTAGGAGTTTCTTCTGATGTTTAAGCTGTCTGCACACAGATCTGCTCCAGAATTTTTTGCTGAGTTTTTTAGGAAGACATAAATTCTCATTTCTGTGTGAAATTGAACATTTAGTTTCAATTTTTAGGAAAAATGCTCCATGATGTTTTGTTCTTATTATTTTTTGTAGGAAACTATGCATGGTATACTTAGGGTTGAGTAAAATGCAACCACTGGCCAACACTTTGTAGTTCGAATGATGTCATAGTGGCTTCATGAGTCCTCAAAAACCATCTTCAGTACCTGTATTCTGATAAGATCAGAAACAGAAGAAATGGACAGATTCTTTTTATTTTTATTTATTCGTGTGTGTGTGTGTGTGTGTGTGTGTGTGTGTGTGTGTTTGTGTGGGGGGCAGCTCAGCCCACCAGGGAACCAGGGGGCAGGGATGGCTGGCATGTGGTGCTGGGGGATTGAACTGCAGGCCCTGTGCTTTGCTGAGCTTGTTCTACGTAAGTGCTTTAGACCACTGAGCCATCTCACCAGTCCCATGGACATATTTTTAGATCCATATGAATTACCAAAGCTGGACCAAGGAATTTTAAAAATTCCAAATAAATTAGTACCCATCAATGAAACTGAAGATGTAATTTAAAACCTACCAAAAAAGGAAATTCCATGTTCTTACAGATTCACACCTGAATTCTACAAGAAATGTAGAGAAGGCTTAAGGCCGCTCCTTCTTAAATACTTTATGGACATTGAAAGAGAAGCAGTACTCCCAAATTGATTCCTGCAGGCAAGAATTACCTGATACCAAATGAGAGAATGAATCAACCAGTTAAGAGAAGTACATGCTTATCTCCCTCATGAAAACTGGACACAAATATTTTCAGTAAGATACTGTCAAACAGAATGAGGCAAGTCACCAAGATTGTATACCATGATTAAGCAGGATCTATCCTGGGGATGTAGGGATGCTTCAACATATGCAAATGAATAGAAGGAATAGACTGGGTGTAGTGCTGCCTCCCTGCAATCCCAGCACTTGGGAAGTGGAGGCAGAGGGTTGCAGAGAGTTTCAGGCCAGCCTGGTGTACACAGTTAGTTCGAGGGCAACCTGAGCTGCACAGTGAGACCCTGTCTCAAAAACTAAAATAATAATTCAAAAAATTATTAAATATAACATACATTTATTAGCAGAGCCAAGAACAAAACCAAATGACTAACAATACATGCAGAGAGAACATTTGACAAAGTCCCAAAACCATTCATGATAAAAACCTCCCAGAATATTGGAATAGATGGTCTTGATCAAAATCTGATAGAAGTCATCTATTACAGCTTGTGGTGGCAGATGAAAGAAGAGACCCTCACTGGGGCTGAGGATGGGAACACGCAAGTTGTATTCCCCCACAGGGTACGATGTTCTACAATAACAAACTGGGGAATGTTGACCTCAAATGGCCTTTGAAGTGGGTTTGCATACATTTAAAAGCAACCATGATAACCACATTGCTTCATTTTAAAGTTTTACAAAAAGCCACAAGATTAACATTAGCCAGGTTGTGCATTTTTTCAAAATTTTATTGATAAACAGATAGCAATGAGACAGTTTCAAATCAAATCAGAAATACGGTTTCAACAAATAACGCACTGCATATATTCTTCTTTGCTTTTAATTGCTGTACAAGATGCGGAATTGAGATCCTATTTAAAAACACCATTAGAAGAAATCATTGCATTCATTAAGAGAATGCAACTCTATATCTATCCTAACGACTTTGAATACACAGATACAAAATGTACATTCATCGGTATACCTCATTTTCTCTAAGTTCCGTTATTGAATATTATATTTGTGTAAACTCAGCAAAATATTTTAAAAGAGTCCAGTAGCCCATAATAGCATTGGGTCTTATATTTAACTGGCAATGTCAGAAATTATTGACCTGAGTCCCCCACAGCTCAACCCAACAGCATGGCTTTATTTCTTATATTTCGACTTCATACTTTTCTACTGGATGGTTAAGACCAAGGTAAACCAGGACCTATGCAACAAGAGTTGTAGCTTTTTGGTCTGAAAAGGTCAGTGAAATGCCCTCAGGATTTATCCTGAGATCCTGTTCCTCAGATTGTAGAACCTTTTCAGTGCAGCCATGTGGATGAGTCACGGCCATTGCTTGGCCAATGTGCTTTCTATGAAAGCCTGAGAAAGTGTTTTCTCCCCATGTGACTCTCCTTAGGCACACTCTACATCATCGATCACTTTCCTCTTTGGCCCCATAATCTTCTTGATCAGAAAATTTGGGACAATACCGAGGTACATGACGTTACAGTACAAGTTCTCATATGTCCTGAGTCTTAATTGACCTTAGAAGGTTAGGGCCAAAATGTTGGCTTTCCTTGTATCCTTCCTTTTTCTCTAATTTGGTCTGCAAATGTAGGTTGTTAACCATCCAGAAGAAAAGCTTATTGTTACTATCAAACGATTTATGCTATCAAGTTTAACCTCACTATCTCACTGCATTTCAAACATGTTAGGCATAATAAGGAACAGGTATTTTTTATCAAGTATTGATATGTTGAACTTTAAGTCCCCACATAATATGATAAAAAACATTTAAAAATTAGATTTTATTTTAAAAATAGGATAAAGAATTATATACTTCTCATGTTTGCACATAAGTCTAAAAATCTCACCATATACAAACTTGAAGAAGGATAGTTCCTCAATACTCCTTTTCCTGTCTCAGTGTTATGCATTTT